TTCTGAATCTGCATGTGGCGGCGGTGGGACAAGCTGAAGAGCTGTCCATGTACTCCACCGTGGCTGATTTCCTCTCCGTCAGGCGAATTCTGAACAACGGCGGGAATTGCAGTGGGCCATCCATATCGGTGATAATGGGAGGCCAGCACGTCGAACCAGTAATGCATAAGCCGTCCACCACGACATTCAGCAGTGTTCGATACCTATGATCTAGCTGCCACAATCCCAAATGTGTCTGTATGGGAACATCTTCGCATACACTTTGCACTAAGACATACCCCTCCTCTCCTGGCTCGGCAAGTTTTCAGGAACGCCATACTCCTCTCGGCAGCGCCGTCTCCAGATGCTGTCGATGTGCAGGATGTGGTGGAATTTGGTGCAGGCCTGGGCCAGGCTGTGCAGGTCCGTGCCGGGGAGCGAGGCGAAGATCTCCACTAGCAGCTAGGGAGGCAGGTCCTGCAGCGAGCAGTGCGGGGGCAGCATGGGGCTAGCGATTCCTCCACTCCCCGCACAGCACCGCGCTGCCGGGTGCGCCTCCACGTGCTTTGCTGCCGGGGCCAGCTTGCCCTCAGCCGCTGCCCTCTCAGCTGGGCCCTGGCACTCCTGACAACACCGCTTGCCCTCGGCCGCTGCTGTCTCAGCTGGGCCCTGACACTATTGATGACACCGACATCCCCGTGAAGAGCCCACTCGGCAGAGGCAAGCACACTCCTCCATGCCTCCACGCTTAACAGCCACCACAGAGTGGCTAATGACCAATTATTATAATCACGTTGCATTCATTTCCTTTATGCACAGGCACACCATTTCTCTCCACTAATACTAGCAGCGAATATTTCAGCAGCCGATTGCCACATCACTAGTCTTGGACTGACTTGTTTGGTGTGCGCAACAGGAAGTATTTTGCTTTTGGAGAACAAGAAAAATAGGTTTATTTGCGTTACACTTATTAATTTGTGCAGTTATTCAGTGTCTGGTAAGATAATGTTCAAGAAAAAATTAATTTTTATTAAAATGTTCTATTATTTTATGTTAATGATCACTCATTTATTTCAGCCCTTTGTATTGAGCATGTCTCTATCGAAATAAACCTACTTTTCTATGAAAATTGAAGCTTTTGTTTTTTTTTGTGGACCACATAAACTTAAACCTTGTTTATTTGGCCCATGTTAGCCTTTGAGTTTGACATGCTTGTTCTAAATGCTTCTTTCATGTATTAATCTAGTTATTTCTCAAAACAACCCTATGAGATTATTCCCATTTTATTATCTCTTTTATAGATGAGGAAAGTGATGTACAGAGATCTTATGATACTGAGAGTACATTTATTAAAGTTAGGGACAGTGAAACAAGGAAGGGCTTAGGATAGGGAAAGCAATAGGAGAGAGCCCAGGTGGAGCTGCTTTGGCTCACTGGAAAGTCAGAGACAAGGGGAACTTGGGGACAGGTTCAGGGGGTTAGCCTAGGACAGTAGTTGGCAAACTGTGACCCCTTGAGTGTGGCTCTTCCACAAAATACCACGTGCGGGTGCGCACGTACAGTGTGATTGAAACTTCGTGGCCACACTCAAGGGGCCAAAGAGCCGCATGTGGCTCGCGAGCCGCCGTTTGCCGACCACTGGCCTAGGATGAGCTGCAGTAGCCCATTGCTCTGCTGGCTGCAAGTCTCCTGAGGACCCTTAGAGTTTAGGAGATACTCTCTTGAAAGGGAAGAAAGGGTAGGTGTGCTCCCTGGAGGGAAAGTGCCTGAACAGAGATTTTAAATAACTTGCCCAATGACATGGCTGCAGTGGCAGTGCTCTTAAGGAATATCCTATCCTATCTATAGAAACTTTATCTCTATTAGTTGAGGGAAGCAAGTGAAATATATAGTGTTTTTTTTTGTTTATTTTAACATACTTTTATTGATTTAAGAGAGGGAGGGAGAGGGAGAGAAACATTAATGATGAGAGAGAATCATTGATTGGCTGCCTCCTCCACGCCCCACACTGGGGATCAAGCCTGAAACCTGGGCACATGCCCTGACCAGGAATCCAACCGTGGTTGGTTCATAGGTCGATACTCAACCATTGAGCCACATCACCTGGGATATAGGTCCTTTTTAAAAACAAACACATGTTTTTATTCATTTTTAGAAAGAGAGGAAGGGAGAGGGAGAGAGAAACATCTATGCCAGTGGTTCTCAACCTTCCTAATGCTGCGACCCTTTAATACAGTTCCTTAAGTTGTGGTGACCCCCCAACCATAAAATTATTTTTGTTGCTACTTCATAACTGTAATTTGCTACTGTTATGAATCGTAATGTAAATATCTGATATGCAGGATGTATTTTCATTGTTACAAATTGAACATAATTAAAGCATAGTGGTTAATCACAAAAAAAATATGTAATTATATATGTGTTTTCTGTTGGTCTTAGGTAACCCCTGTGAAAGGGTCGTTCGACCCCCAAAGGGGTCGCGACCCACAGGTTGAGAACCGCTGATCTATGTGAAAGAGAAACATCAATTGGCTGCTTCCTGCAACCCCCTCCCTACCCCCATAAGAGCACAGATAATTAATTTTATATCTGGTGTTAACTGATGCAGTTCATTGAAATTATCTTTGATACACTTCACCATGGAATGAATTCCTGGTTGCCAAATTCAGTAGGTCCTTTTCAGCTCTTATTTTATATGATGATTATGTGATTGATACTATTAACCACCTTTCTCCTTAATATTCCTTCCTTGATTTTTAACACCAATGTCCTTGGTCCTCTTATTCCTCTGCTGCTTCTTTGTGTGTTCATTTTTCTTTGCCTGCTCCATACAGGTTGCTGTTTTCCTTGGGTTCTATCCCTCTTACTAGGCAAGATTACCATAAGCACTTCAAATTTAACATTCTCTTCCTGTTTTCTCCTTTAAATCCTTCAGTAGTATCCCTACACTGCCAAAGAGAAAACTTTTTCACTATATGCAGAAAAATGAGAACTAATGTGGGCTGGTGGGAGAAAGTTTGGGGAAGATAGCTCCATGCCAAACTACTCCATATGGTCATGTGTGTTCTAACAGATTGAGAGTCTCTCCCATCCTGCCCCCCAAAAGCTCTGAATAAAATCAATACTTCAGAAAAGACTGCCCTGTTTATTTTATGATTTTCCATACTCAAGGAACACTTCCACACATCTACCTCTACCTAGCCTCCACTCTCATCCAAAGCCGAGACCTGGCTCCTGTTTCTCTTTTTATACTCCTCTCTTTGCTACTCTTTCTTTTTCCCTTCCTCACCTGTATTTCCACCACAGGAACATGCTATTTTATGCGAAGGTGTGCTTGTAATATCCCTCCTTTTTATTTACCCAAGGAATGTCTACTGTTTCCCAACTGTCAGCCTCCTCCACTCTGAGGCAATTCCCCACATCTCCAGGCGACCCAAATTTATCCCCTCCGTTTTCGCGCACCCACTTAACCAGGACTCATCACACTTCACTGCACTGTTTGCTCCTCTTTCTTAAAAGGGACCTCCTAGGTCTTATTTATATCTCTTTAATGCCTAGCACACATCTGTTAAATGACTGCTGACGTTAACTGATTTTATTGTACAGCTTTATATTTGTCGGGATTGCTGACCTGCTGAGCTGTCTGTAAGCTTCCAACCTCACTACCGCAAAGGAAAGTCGTGTTTTGACTCTTAGAGAAGGCCATGACCTCGCCAAGGTCACCAGCAGCGGTGCTGAACTAAGTAAGACACCAGTTCCCGAACCCCCGCCCCCGAGACTGTCATCCAGCTCAAGGTCCTATCTGAGGAGAGAGCCCAAGGGCAGCTCTGCCGCCCACGTGCTTCCCGACAGGAACTCGGCCTCCTTCCTAAACGTAGTTCCGCCAAGTACTGCCTCTAACTGACGTCCCTGTCGTCCAATTAAGCTTTGAGGCTCTGAGGGTTGCACCTAGCCGGACCATGTCCAGTAAAAAAAAGGAATTCAGATTAGCATCAATTTTGACCAATGATTGAGAAGATGAGAGATTATTAACCTATAGGAGCAGCGCTGATGATGATGAGCAGCAAACTCATCCAATGGGAGTGCCTACTGCAGAGTAGGCCTCGCCCCCATTGCCGCGATGTTGGCGGCCGCTACTGCTGCTGCGTTCAGTCTCCACCCGGACTCCGCCATGTTGGGTCTTGTGGGTCGTGTGGCCGCAGCCTCGGCCTCCGGGGCCTTGCGGGGACTCAGCCCCTCAGCGCCGTTACCCCAAGCCCAGCTCTTACTGCGGGCTGCCCCGGCAGTGCTTCAGCCTGGTAAGTGCCTTCTTGTAGTAGCTGGGTTTGTTTCTGCAGCCCCATGACCTTGAGCCGGGGGCGATTGTCGCTCGGGCCTAAGGTATCTGGTGCTAGAAGAACGCCATGGCCGCCCCCTACCCTCTAACGGATGGAGAACAAGAACGGTTCATCCAGGGGCGCTTTCTTTCATCTAATTCCGTCTAATTTTGGAAAAGGGAGGCGCAGTGTGATGGAAAAGTGCGGGCAGGTGCAATGACCTTCCCGTGGAATGGGGGCACCGAGCTCTCGAATAATGGGGTTTTGTGTGTGAAGATGGAGAATTGTGCAGGCGCTTTTTGGGTTCCTGCACGGCCCTCCCTCCGGACACGCCTTCCCTGCAAGCGGAAGGAGGTCGGGCTTGGGCTGAATTCTCCAGACCTTGTGGGTTAAGTCCATGCCCCCAGTGACCTTTTAACTGCCCTGACCCCAGCTCCTGCCAATCTTTCTTGTCTGTTAGCCAGAGACTATGCCGCCCAGACGTCCCCGGCGCCTAAGCCAGGCGCCGCCACCGGGCGGATCGTGGCCGTCATCGGTGCGGTGGTGGACGTCCAGTTCGACGAGGGACTGCCGCCCATCCTGAACGCCCTGGAAGTGCAAGGCAGGGAGACCAGGCTGGTGTTGGAGGTGGCCCAGCACCTGGGTAAGTAGAATTGTCAGGGATAGTAGAGTTTAGCTCACATAGGCCCCGATCCCGGCTGTCTTCCTTCTATGATGATTTTTTTCAAAATGACTTTCGTTCTTCTGAGTTTGCTGAAGCCACCTTTCGGTACTGAGAAGGAGTCTTGGTTGACTTACGTCTTCCATGCCACCTACACTATGTTAAATACCATGAAGCCATGTTGGTTGTATGTACCACCCTGCAGCAATGCCTTTATCTGACAGGTGAGAGCACTGTAAGGACCATTGCCATGGACGGTACAGAAGGCTTGGTTAGAGGCCAGAAAGTCCTGGATTCTGGTGCACCCATCAGAATTCCCGTTGGTCCTGAGACCTTGGGCCGAATTATGAATGTCATTGGAGAACCTATTGATGAGAGAGGCCCCATCAAAACCAAACAGTAAGTATCCTCTCGCTGCATCTATACACTGAGGAACTGCTTTTTCTTGCAGTCTTATACATTAGGTGACGCTTTTTAGTATGGCAGAATTTTTCTGTGGAGAATACTTAAAAATGCTGTCATATTCGATTATTAAAGCTACACAATGCAATTTCTTTAGAAGAAAATTAAGGATGCAGAAATTCTGATTATAAAAAAAAAACACCTGCTTAGGACCCAAGTTGATTATTTGAGTTTTAATGCCGATGGCTTATGTTGTGGGATTTCTAGAACTTGCATGATTCTTGTGTGAAGAAGTGCTGTTAGGTTAGGACTCAGTAAAGGAAAATCTTTTTTTGACTTCAGAGAGAGGAAAGGAGGGGGGGGGGAGGGGCGGGGAGAGAGAGGGAGAAAACATTAATGATGAGAGAGAATCATCGAAGGGGCTGCCTCCTGCATGCCCCACCCGGATCGAGCCTGCAACCCCGGCATGTGCCCTGACTGGGAATCGAACTGTGACTTCCTAGTTCATAGGTCAACCACTGAGCCACGCTGGCCAGGCAAAGGAAACATCTTTATGACAGTTAAAGTTGGCAGGTGAAGGGATTATTGTTTCCCAAGATAATGAAATTCCCCTTGGTAAGAGGAGATGAGACTAAGTAAAGGGTTACACTTGGGAGTTGAGAGGAACCTTTCAACAAGATGAATAGACACTGGTCTTCTCTTCTGCCTTTGCAGATTTGCTGCTATTCATGCTGAGGCTCCTGAGTTCGTTGAGATGAGTGTTGAGCAGGAAATTTTGGTTACTGGTATCAAGGTTGTGGATCTCCTGGCTCCCTATGCCAAGGGTGGCAAAATTGGTATGTTAGTGGTGGGTGCATATTTTCCAAACAGTGTGGAGAGAAAAACATCCTACCATGTTGTGAGGGGTACTGAGGATCTACCCCTTGCTGATGAATAGCTTCTGACTTTCGTTCTTCTGAGTTTGCTGAAGCCAGATGCCATTTCTGAGAGGGAAAAAGATGGAAAGAACTTTTTTTTTAAATTTGCTTCTTTAGGAATATAGAACTCTTAACTATTCTTTTTTCTCAACCTCTCCCAGGGCTCTTTGGTGGTGCAGGAGTTGGCAAGACTGTACTGATCATGGAGTTAATCAACAACGTTGCCAAAGCCCATGGTGGTTATTCTGTGTTTGCTGGTGTTGGTGAGAGAACACGAGAGGGCAATGACTTATACCATGAAATGATTGAGTCTGGTGTTATCAACTTAAAAGATGCTACCTCCAAGGTGAGCACTGAACTGATTAATGTTCACATATCAGGTGTGCTAGGAAATTACTGCAGTGGACTGCATTGCTAGCTGAAGCCATGGTTTTTTTTTTCTTTTAGTGTCCCAGGACCTACAAAGGAAATTCCTGTCAGTGTTTTCCCCCCAATTTGTAATATACTAGTGCACATTTGATTACATTTCCAGACTCTTTATGGTAGATAGACCCATCATTTGAAAGCTAATTTTGGGGAGAGTTTATTTCCTTCCTACTACCTCAGTAATTTTCAGACTTACCTCAGTGATACAAGAAATTATCTTTTGTGTTTTGAACTGCAACTCTAAAAGGAAACAAAATTTGTGAATAAAAACATTAACACCTTCTGAGAAGGGAGTTTTTTTGTAGTTTAACTGATTTGGGGACCTTGGGATATATGGCTTCCATACTCCTCTGTGGGATTTTCATTTTGCTAGGGGAGAGTGCTAACAATCCCCCACTACCGCTAATTATGCAGTCGAGTTTCCTACATTTGGATACGTCTGCCTTTGGAGCCTGCGTCAATGATCCCTGAGCTCCACATTCAAGTTTTCTGATTGTGTATGATTATTGCAGGTAGCACTGGTGTACGGTCAAATGAATGAACCACCTGGTGCTCGTGCCCGGGTAGCTCTGACTGGACTGACTGTGGCTGAATACTTCAGAGACCAAGAAGGTCAAGATGTACTGCTGTTTATCGATAACATCTTTCGCTTCACCCAGGCTGGCTCAGAGGTAAGAGAGAGAGCTTCAGAAGACCTAGTTCATTTAACCTTTCTATGGAATGATGCACATGAGGCTGAAGATACAGATACCTAAGACCTTTCGTTCTTAGTTCTTTTTTTTTTTTTTTTTTAGGTGTCTGCTTTATTGGGCAGAATCCCTTCTGCTGTAGGCTACCAGCCTACCCTGGCTACTGATATGGGTACCATGCAGGAAAGAATCACCACTACCAAGAAGGGATCTATCACTTCTGTGCAGGTAAGAACAATTAAGTAAATGAAGGTCTAATTTGTATAAAGGCATGTACAGAGAAGCATCAAACTTAATTACTTACATCTCAAGAGGCTTTTAACTGGGCTCATGTGCTCTCTGAAATGAAGGGTAAAATTTTATATGTTCATGTCAAAAATCCTAAAAGGTTAAACATTCATCTAAAATAGTTGAATAATGCCTTAACTGGTTTGGCTCTGTCGATAGAGTGTCGGCCTGCGGACTGAAGGTCCCAGGTTCGATTCCAGTCAAGGGCATGTATCTTGGTTGCAGGCACATCTCCAGTAGGGGGTGTGCAGGAGGCAGCTGGTCGATGTTTCTCTCTCATCGATGTTTCTAACTCTCTATCCCTCTCCCTTCCTCTCTGTAAAAATCAATAAAAATATATAAAAAAAATAAAATAAAAAATAAAATAAAATAGTTGAATAAATGTAGATCACAAAGTAGTGGTTTCCAGCCTGAGGGGTGGTGGGGGGGGGGGGGTCGAACTACATGGAAATTGAGCAGTAAATGTGTTGCATTAATGTACTACAAATTTTTAAATATTTATATATGGTGTTTATAGTAAAATTATAAAACTGTCTAAGTTGTGTGGTAACTTTCATGATTCATTTTTCTAGTGAACTGTGGTTCAAGGTATTTTTGTTTTAATTCAGAAAGTGGGTATGATTATAATAGAGTTAAAATGTAGGGTGAAAAACAGAAGGAATGGCCCAGCCGGTGTGCTCAGTAGTTGGACATCGACCCATGAACCATGTGGTCGCTGGTTTGATTCCCGGTCAGGGCACATGCCTGGGTTGCAGTCTCCATCCACAGTATGGGGTGTGCAGGAGGCAGTCAATCGCTATCTTTCCCATTGATGTGTCTATATCTCAGTCCCTCTCCCTTCCTCTCTCTCAAAAATCAATACAAATATTTTTTTAAAGGAATGACAATAGAAATTCTTTCATTACAGCTTAGAGGGACCAGATAATCTGTAAACTCAGCCGCTATTAGGGGTGGTAAGAAGGTTCTTTTGAGGTGGACTCTTGAATGCTAAGATGGAGTGAGAACGAGGACAGGTTAGGAAGGGGGATGGCTTAAGTAGAATTAATTAGCTTTGGCTTCTGTTGTTCCTCATGGCTTTTTGACTCACTTTAGGCTATCTATGTGCCTGCCGATGACTTGACTGACCCTGCCCCTGCCACTACCTTTGCCCATTTGGATGCTACCACAGTGTTGTCCCGTGCTATTGCTGAACTGGGCATCTACCCAGCTGTGGATCCTCTAGACTCCACCTCTCGCATCATGGATCCCAACATTGTTGGCAATGAGCATTATGATGTTGCCCGTGGGGTGCAAAAGATCCTACAGGTGAGTATTATTGTAGGTGAGATTAGTGTCCATAAAATCATACAGAGGGAATTAAGGGACTGTATTAGTATCAGATCTTCCCTGGTGACTTCTATGCTTTGCTTTAGAGCAAGGAAAACAGACAGGCAGTTTCTAGTGCATGTTAATGGGGCCCCTTTGGAATCCAATTTTATCTAACAGTACTACACTAGCAGTAGAAAGAACAAGACACTGATCTTAGCTGAGGGCCCTCTCTTACCACTACGATAGGTAACTTTTCTTCCACTAACTCATTTCACTTATAAAGTGAGGTAAAGTGCTGAAATGCTTTGTACAAAGCTCAGTGTGAGTGTAAGGTGATATTAACCCTTAGGTTTTTGTCCAAATTAAAGGAATGTGACTACTTATTCCGGGCTATCTTGTTTTTTTCATAGGACTACAAATCCCTCCAGGATATCATTGCCATTCTGGGTATGGATGAACTTTCTGAGGAAGACAAGTTGACTGTGTCCCGTGCACGGAAAATACAGCGTTTCTTGTCTCAGCCATTCCAGGTTGCTGAGGTCTTCACAGGTCATATGGGGAAGTTGGTACCCCTGAAGGAGACCATCAAAGGATTCCAACAGATTTTGGCAGGTGAGATTTCAAGTATAAACCTGCACATAAGTGGCAGAGAAACTGAAATCTCTTGAATGCTTGCTGTGTTATGTTCCGATTGCAGCAGCCATCAAACAATGTATAAATATATCGCGCCTAATTACATAATTTTAAAAAATAAAACACAAGCTATTTCCCATTAATTTTCTTTGGAAATACTATATTCTGAGAGTGAGACATGTATTACTTTTCTTATCAGCCAACACTGAGTGCATTCAGTATTAGCTACTCTTCTAAGTGAATTACAAGATCCTATGAGGAAGGCATTATCTTGTTTTACAAATTAGGGGACTTAAAACACAGAAAGGTTTAAAATAACCAGTCCCAATATTGCAGCCAACGTATAGAGCAAGAATTTGAACCCAGAATATGTGGCACCAGATCATCTGTTCTTAACCCATACTGTATCATGTCCTGTAAATTGGATTTGTGAGGGAAGTTTGCTAAGAAAAGATTT